GTATATATATATATATATATATATAATATGATATATTTAAGATCACAAATTCAATTCTAAAAGTTATTAGTTTGTTCTTTACTTTTTCTTTTAATTTTGTTTTAAGAAAACATGTCTCTTTTCATTTTTGTAGCTTTTTACTTATTACTTTAACGTTATATGAAAAACGGATCTCAAATTTACACGTTAAACATAAAAAAGAAAAAAATTACTGAGTTCAAGTGAATATGTAGCATTTAACCAATACAGTAGATTCATCCCTAGAAAAACATACCTATGATAAACAATTTAGCACCAAATTAAAACAAGTATATATATACATTTATCAAATTATAAATTAACTAAGGTCCTTTAGTCTTATTTTACAAAAAATGATATAAAACTTTTTTCTTCTATTACAATGAAGAGTCATCAAAGATGGGGGAAAATAAAATTTAGGACGGTGAAAATTGAACTTACATCTATTATATCGAAAAATTCTCATTAAATTGTAAGTCAGGTAAAATTGATATTAGGATTTCGATTAAACGGATAAATAATATGAAATTCGACCAAAACATTAGGGAAAATAATAAAAAATAGGGAAAAATTTAAATTTATTCAGAAGTAGAACACTTAGTAGATAAAAGTTGATCTAATAAATCAGTACCTAAATCTTCAAGGACCAATACATTATTATTATTTTTTTGGTTATTCGATTTTATTGTTTTTTTACCTTTACTATTTCTCTTCTTGTGTTTTTCCTTTATAACTTGAGCAGGAGACGATGTTGAACCCTCTTGACTCGTATATTTAAATCCTCTTAACGATTCTTGAACTATCTCGACTCCAAAATTAAGACATGTTGTAGGACCACGCATTGAGAGTGCAGCTTGGTCGTAAGCTAAAGCAGCTTCTTCAGCAGTATCAAACGTACCTAGCCAAACCCTAATTCCATTTCGCGTCGAATCCCTAATTTCAGCTGCATATTTTCCCCATGGACGTTTTCGAACTCCAATGTATTGTTTACCCTTTTGTGTATTTTCTTCATCTTGAATATTATTATCGAAATTTATAATAATCTCTTCTTCATCTTTGATTTTGATCTCTTCATAACAACTTGTTTCTATTGAAAAAGAATGATTCATCTTTGATTTGGATGAGTTTTTATTTTATTTTTTATGATTATGAAGAAAAAAAATTGTAGAAATGATAAGATCTTAACAAATTATAGCTTTAATAGATGTTTTTGTGATGAAGAAATGGAAAATGGAAGGGCCATTTTGGATCATAGAAAATGGAAAAAAAAAAGTTGCAAGATTCTTTGACAACTAGGATGCCAATATATGGCATTAGATTTGATTGATGTGATTTATTTAATAAGTTTTTCATTTATTAAATTTTTACATTAGTTATTCAAATATTTTTAACTGGGCTACAATACGTTGTTATAAAAAAAATTATACTAATTGATTCAAAGAAATTTAAATTCGTTATATGAGATTTTTATTTAGCAGAGATCAATTGTTATAAATAGATTTTACTGTATGATGTATTTATTGAATTGGTTACTAGATTGATTAATCTGAATTTGTATAGTAAAACGTCTATTATGTGAGGTTTATTAGAGTTCGATACATTAAAAACTAGCTCCAATACATCATAAAATAAATCAGATACATAATATGTAGCTCGAATATATTAAATACGTTAGGAGAGAAATAAGAGGATTTTAGAGATTTTTAAAAATCAAAGGGAATATGGAAAATAAGGAAAACATAAAACATATATTTGAGTAATAATTTCTCCACTATCTTGTGGGCCCAACGCTGGTTGACTTTTTTTTCCAAGCTAGTGTCGTAGATCGAAAATGGCTAGAAAATTACTTATAAAATAAGTTCAGGGGGTAATAGAACTTTTGTATAGTATAAGTGTATCTCTGAGATTTCAGGCATAGGTTGAGGGGTATTGTGCATTTTTATTTTTATTTTATAACTATAGTAATTGTAATGTAGAAACAAGTCAATCGAAAGCCTATAAAAATAGATGCTACATATATGTATATAACTATGATCTTCATAAAAATGAGGAGAAAATCAATCAAATAATATCTGATGAATACAAATTACAAAAATTGCTCCTAAAGTCATCAAAAAGATCTTAAATTGAAAGAAATTTGAGAGAAAAATACATAAATTTTGTAATATAGATAGAAAAATTGATGAAAGAAAAAGTATTAGTGAGGGTAAACATGGGAAACCAATCACATAAAAACATGCTTAGACATAATAAATTAGGTGTGTAATTATTTTATATATTATTAACTTTGCTATTTATTGTGTAATTATGTCCATATAACATAAAAAAATGAATTATAGCTATTTCTTTTAAATGTATATTAATGTTTGCCATATTTTATAATTTTTCCTAATTTTAACCTTTAAATTTCATTTACCAAATTAAATTTAAGACGTCTGATTAAAAATTAAAAATACAAAAACCTATCATTCCACTAAACCTTAATTAGTAGAGTCTTTGGAAAGAATTTTTAATTTTTGTGAATGTTACGAGATTCTTGGGTATGTGATATTATTAAGTAATCCTAAAATTATTACTTTTATACTAATAATTGTGAATAAGTACTAATTAAATATATATAATATCCAAGAAACATTATTTATCTATAAATACTTATAATGATGTCACTAGAATGAATAAACATGTCTATAAAGTCAATCATTTAATTAACTAGCTATAAATGGTCCAATAAGAAGTTTCAATTTCAATATAATTTTGAATTTAAGAGAATTCTTATTAGCATTGCTAAATTTTTTATTACTATCACATACGAATTATATTGACTTTTAAGACTTAGCTTGTGTGCAGGAAATGAAGAATAATAATAAATCTAAAATTTGTTTAATTATATTACTTATAATTATCTTCCTCATTTAACAATTACTATTATTAGTATTCAGAAAAAATAAGCAATCTATAACAATCTCTTTTTTGTAACAATATTTCACAGTAACAATCTTATTTATGTGAAATCGATCTTTTATGCTATGTTATATTATTTATTTTTTATAACAGTAAAAAAAATATTGAATTTCAAACGCCGTCATTTTTTTGATTGCAATTAAAATAGGTAAATAATGGCATAAATCTGGTCAAAGTGGTCCATTTTTTTTTTGTAGCATGTAGCTAGGTTTTAGGAATGATTTCAATTCAAAGAAATAGCATACATCATGTCAAAGTGGTCCAAATTTTATATCTAATAGTTTACATAAATAGTAGGTAATAATTGAAAAAATAAAATGCATCCCCTTTGTATAATTCTGTTTTTTTTTATCTTTTTATATAATTCATTTATTCAAATTTACGTAACATAACTTATTAACGCGAATGACGTGCTCTCTATCTGAAATTTCTTCATCTTACAACTTGTTAATTCAAATTCACAATGTACAAAATCAAGTAAAGAGAACATGTTCTTATTAGAAGTTTGATCTCCGTCGAATAATACACTATTATTCAACGAAAATACGTAGATTTTGATGAAAATAATATGCCTTCCATTTTACTTCTATATACTTATCTATCGATGAAATGGGACGATGTATTGACTAAATGTTTGCAATAACTTATATCTTGGTTCTGCATTTGTTGATGTGATAACTTGCACTACCAGAAATACGCGAATTTTTTATGGTTCTTTCATTGAAAATCCATCAAAATTGTACTATTTTGATGGCGTTTTCATTGGATATACGTCAAAATTGTACTATTTTGATGGCATTTTCATTGGATATACGTCAAAATTGTACTATTTTGATGGCGTTTTCATTGAAAATCCATCGAAATTGTACTATTTTGATGGCGTTTTCATTGGAACTACGTCAAAATTGTACTCGTTACAACTGTTTGCAACGCACATTCCCTCAGGAACTCCGATTTCAGACAACGTTCCATCAGCTCTGTATGAAATTCACGTTGTTTTACAAAGTAGAGCTGCCCAAAACAGAGATTTGTTTCACCTCTGGTGTCCTAATGAAGCGCGAAATGAGATAAATGAAGAGTTCCTCTCCATAATGAACTCGATAGCTGATAAGTCATAGAATGAATGGTCAAGTATTTATAAATTTTGACCATATTGTTTGATACAACAGTACTGGTGCCTTCTACCAAATGATCTCAGAAGATTTCACTGTCAAGTGAATACGAAACAATGTTAGTGAAGTTTGTCAACTTCATTCAAGTTGAGCACAAGTGAAAAAAAAGACAATACCATATGATGTATCACATGGTATTGCCTTATAAGATCTTTGATAGATACTTATAATATTGGTGGAAAACAATACCACATATATGTTTATATAGCCCTATTTGTTGTTATCCTGCGAAAAACGGAGAAAAAAAAATGCATCATGGTTTTGATAAGGTCACCTATCTACATGACAAAGAAGAGAGCAGAACATGATTCTGTTTCATACCAGTACTAGTTCATTTAATGGTTTCAAATTATTGGCGTTTGGTGGGAAGTAGCAAATACGAGCTGATGTCATAGCTAATCGTTTGTTGATTAAAGAGAAGAAAGGAAGAAACTTACCTTCTTTTGTCCACAAATTTTGAAGGCCCCATATGAACATGACCAACAGGCATCAGCATATGGCTTTGCCTAACAATCTTATCAGCTCAACTTGTATAAATAAGCCCTCTTTCATGAGCCTTTCATCATCAAGCACAAGCATTATCAATTCAGCCATCAAACGTCTCTAAATTTGTTATTTAGTTTCTTGTTTTCAATCTTCTGGAAAAGAAAATGGCAATGATTAGTACTAAAAAACTCATCAAAATGGCTAAGAAATGGCAGAAGTTTGCAGCCATGCAGAGGAAAAGGATTTCATTTCCAAGAAATGGTAGTGATGCAGACAGTTGTAGTACGTCTTCATCGTCTATAGTTGAAAAAGGACATTTTGTAGTATATACAGCTGATCAAGCACGCTTTGTCATTCCATTGGCTTACCTTGAAAATGAAGTCATTAGGCAACTCTTGAACATGTCTGAAGAAGAATTTGGGCTTCCTTGTGGTGGTCCTATTACATTACCTTGTGATTCAGCCTTCATGGACTATATCATTTCGTTAATAAGCAGAGGCGTAACTGCAGGAGATCTTCACAAAGCATTGCTCCTATCAATTCCTTCTAGTTGCTGTTCGGCATCTTCTTTGCACCGAGAAAGTGGAAACCTACAGCTTCTTGTTTGTTAAGTCATAATCAACATTTTTTTTAATTACATTCTAGTTTAGATAGGGCATAGAATGAAGAACACAATTGTAAAGCACATCGTACAGATTGAATATTATTTTATCAGAGAAAATTGAATATATCCACTGTTTTCACTTTTACATTTGGTTATGAGAAGACTTGAAAATCTAATCCTGAATTGGTACCACTTTTATTATTGCAAGCATTTCACTAAACTATGCCTCCTTCTATGTATATGCATGAGTATGTTCTAATCAGGCTTTGCTGAAGTATCTGCATTAGGGTGGCAGAGATGAGAGACAACGGCATCTGAAGTATTGCAGGGCTTGTCTTCTAAGTTAGCATCCTGTGTGAACATTTTGTGGTATCTTCAGAAGCAATTAGGTGATAAAACAAGTCTTGAAATCTAAAATGAAGACTCAAGTATGATATTAGAACAACTAAAGACATACTTAACTCTAGATGATGATATAAGAATGAACAAGTAACACATAATCTTGAGAAATGCACAGAAAAAGGAAAACTTTTTGCACTGTGTATATATAAGTTTATGAATCCAAAAGTTTATACAAGTATATATTAAGCCTCATTGCTTCTCATACTTGGAATTAAGGGCATCCTACAAAATTTAATGCCTCAAGTCTATGATAAAGCAGATGACTTCGTTCCGTTACTCATCACAGATGCCATTCTTATTCAGCTAAATTATACTTTCTTGGATGTGCTAGTTTGCACAACACTGTGACACTGTTGTATATGGAGGCCTAATTATTTTAGTAGATAAACTTTAAAAAAATAAGGGAGAGATTAATTAGAAATAACACTTCTGCTATTCATAAATTGATCATGGAAACAACTTCTATAGATTCTTGTGTTTCTGAACTATACAGTAAAAGTTCCTCTCTAAGTCTCATCTTTCTAATATCTAAGTCCTACTACTACTACACAAAATTTCTCTGCAAGAGAATTTGCACTTTGATACAATTCATCGTCTCAAGCGGGATGTGAGATCAACAAACACATCTTCTTTGCAAGGTATTGTGAGACCGCCCATTGGATGATCGAAGCCAAACTGTTCTTCAGCTTGAGTTAACAAGTCTTGAAACGAAGGCTGGCTCAAGTATGATATAGGCACGATGAATCTCTTCTTCTGGCTCTCTCCTACATATACTGCACAATGTCCTTTTGGAACACCTCCGGAATTTGAAAACCTCCTCAATATTCTAGTACCTTGAACAAGGGGACTGATCAGTTTGATAGCCATAGTGAGATACTTTATTTAACTTCAGATGATGAGTTCAAAGGATTTTGAGAAGCACACACCAATGAGACTTGTGTTTTGCATAAAATGATTTCTATGTATGTGTATATATACGAAGTTAGTGGTAAGTTTCATCTCAAAATTTAATGGCCACTGGTGAGAGACAATGGCACATGAAGTTCCACATGGCTTTGTTGAAGAACAACACTAGGCCCCAATGGAGTTGATGCAAAGATGGAAATCTAAAGGTCACCTATCTACATGACAAAGAAGAGAGAAGAACATGGTTTTGCTTCTCACCTGCAATTGTTCATTTAATTGTCTCAAATAATATGGCATTGCTGAGAAATACCATTTATAAACTTATCTTCTTTTGTTTTCAAACATAGCTTCATCCACAAATTTTAGGCCCCATATCAACATGGCTAACAGGCATCTAACATGGTTTTGCCTAACAAACTTATCAGATCTTCTTGTATAAATAAGCCCTCTTTCATGAGCCTTTTCATCATCAAACTCAAGCATTATCAATTCAACCATCAAAGGTCTCTAAATTTCTTATTTCCAATCTTCTAGAAAGAAAATGACAATGATTAGTACCAAGAAACTCATCAAAATGGCTAGGAAATGGCAGAAATTTGCAGCCATGCAGAGGAAGAGGATTTCATTTCCAAGAAATGTTAGCGACGCAGATAGTTGCAGTATGTCTTCATCGTCTACGGTTGAAAAAGGCCATTTTGTAGTATATACAGTCGATCAAGCACGTTTTGTCATTCCATTGGTTTACCTTGAAAATGAGATCATTAGGCAACTCTTGAACATGTCTGAAGAAGAATTTGGGCTGCTGAATGGTGGTCCTATTACATTACCCTGTGATTCAGCCTTCATGGACTACATCATTTTGCTAATCAAGAAAGGCATAACTGCTGGAGATCTTCACAATGCATTGCTCCTATCAATTCCTTCTTCTTGCTGTTCGACTTCTTCTTTGCACCGAGAAAGTGGAAACCAACAGCTTTTTGTTTGTTGAGTCATAATACATGCTAGCTGAAAATAGTTTTTTTAGATAGGGCATACACTGATGAACACAATTGTAAAGCTGTTCATACAGATTGAATATTATTTTATCAAAGAGAAAATTTATCATATCCACAGCTTTCTTTTTTACATTTGGTGATGAGAAGACTTAAACAATCTAATCCTCCATTGGTACCTCTTATGTATTAACACTACTTTTTTTATCCCACGCATTTCACTTACTGCAGTACCTCCTTGATCGAATGAGGTCTAATGATCAATCAATCAAATATGCCTCCTTTTATGTATATGCATTAGTATCTTAAGTATAGCAGGGCTTGTCTTCAAAGTTTGCATCCGGTGTAAAAATTTTGTTGTATTTTCAGAACCAGTCAGGTGACATACAATATGAGCTAACAAATCTTGAAATATAAAGGAAGACTCAAGTATAATATTAACTGCAGACGTTCTTTCAAGATATGATTTTCGAGAAATGCACAGAAAAATGAAGTTTTTGCAGTGTGCATGAACAAGTTTATGAACAAGTCTTACACTATACTTGTTGAATACTAGGCCTCATTGCTTCTCAATTCTCATAACTTGGAATCAAGGACATCCTAAAAATTTAAAAACTCAAGTATAGATAAAGCTGATGACTTGGTTCAGCTAAGTAATTTCTTGTTACTTATCACAAACGATACTTTCTAAGATGCGATAGTTTGATCCACACAGTGCAATTTTTAATGAATAACAGCATTGTTTTAGAAAATGTAAACAAAATAGTGATGATAAGAAAAAACACTTCTGCTATTCATAAATTGATCATGGAAACAAATTCTATTGATTTTGTGTTTCTAAACTATACAGTAAAACTTCCTCTTTAAATCTCCTATTTGTAGTATCTAAGTCTACTAATTTACAAAATTTCTATGCAAGAGACTTTGCACTTTGATACTACTCATGATCTCAAGCGGGATGTGAGATCAACAAACACGTCTTCCTTGCAAGGTATTGTTAGACCACCCATTGGATGATCGAAGCCAAACTGTTCTTCAGCTTGAGTTAACAAGTCTTGAAATAAAGGCTGGCTCAAGTAAGATATTGGCACGATGAATCTCTTCTTCTGGCTCTCTCCCACATATACTGCACAATGACCTTTAGGAACACCCATGGAATTTGAAAATCTCCTCAAGATTCTTGTACCTTGAATAAGGGGACTCATTTTGATACCCATAGTGAGACTCTTTTGTAACTTCAAATGATGACTTTGAAGAAAGAATGAAGGATTTTGAGAAATACACAGCAAGTGAGACTTGTGTTTTGCATAAAAAAGCATTCTATGTGTGTGTATATATACAAAGTTAGTGGTAAATTTCATATCCAAGTTTAATGGTGAAGAGGAATTGGTGGCCACTAGTGAGAGACATTGGGACATGAAGCTTCACATGGTTTTGCTTACTCTATTATCATTAAGTATTCAGACAGGAATGTGTAGAAGAATGACATTAGGCCCCTCTTTTATTTGAAATAAAATCCACAAGAATCGATGAGTTGATGCCTAGATGGAAATCTAAATGTCACCAATCTACATGACAAAGAAGAGAGCAGAACATGGTTTTGTTTCTCAAATTATAGCCATTGCTGAGAAATACCAAGTAGGCCAACAGACATCAGCACATGGCTTTGCCTAACAAACTTATCAGCTCAACTTGTATAAATAAGCCTTCTTTCTTGAGCCTTTTCATCATCAAACACAAGTGTTATCAATTCAGCCACCAAACGTCTCTAAATTTCTTATTTCCAATCTTCCGAAAAGAAAATGGCAATGATTAGTACCAAGAAACTCATCAAAATGGTTAGGAAATGGCAGAAGTTTGCAGCTATGCAGAGGAAGAGGATTTCATTTTCAAGAAATGGCAGTGAAGCAGATTATTGTGGTACGTCTTCATCGTCTATAATTGAAAAAGGACATTTTGCAGTATATACAGCTGATCAAAAGCGTTTCATGATTCCCTTGGTTTATCTTGAAAATGAGATCATTAGGCAACTTTTGAACATGTCTGAAGAAGAATTTGGTCTTCCGAGTGGTGCTCCTATTACATTACCTTGTGACTCAGCCTTCATGGACTATATCATTTCGCTAATAAGGAAAAGCGTAACTTCCGGAGATCTTCACAAAGCATTGATCCTATCAATTCCTTCATGTTGTTGTTCGACTTCTTCTTTGCACCGAGAAAGTGGAAACCAACAGCTTCTTGTTTGTTGAGTCATAATCAACATTTAGCAAAATGTTGTTTTAGATAGGGCATAGAATGAAGAACACAATTGTAAAGCGCATCATACAGATTGAATATATTTACCATATCCATGGCTTCACTTTTCAATTTGGTTATTAGAAGTCCTAACAATGTGTATCTACTTTGTTCTAATCACATCCGTTTTATCTTTCAACTGAAATAAGTTCTCTAGAACTAGTACACTTGCTAAATCTCGCTTTTTATCTTAAAACAGTCATACAACTTTTTAACTATATAAGGACAATTGACAAAAACCAGAAGTAATGTTGAGTGTAACAACAACACAACTAAATCTTAGTCTTATCTAATCAATATTACATTATACGGATCTTTTTCGTTCATTTTTCATTTTCACGGCTAAGTTCTCCAACAGATTGTTTAATGGAAGGACCAAGCACTTCAACATCAAGTTTTATTTCTTGAGGGAAGTGCAGAAGAATGATGAAGTGGTTTTACTCTGTTGCAAATCAGAGATTTAAGCGGCGAACATTTATACCAAGTCATTTCGTATCAGCAGATTCAAATTTCTTAGAGAAAAATTGGGAGTTTGCAGCTCGTGATCTAGGAGAAGATGTTCCTTTATTTATTTAATCAGCTTGAAGATCAATAAACTGTGTTCTTCCGGTTTAGTTCATCTTGCTATTTTAGTATCAAACAACAACAAGAAACAAATAATCTTGAAAAAAGAACAGAAAAGGAAATATTTTGGCACAATACATGTTATGGTAAGTCTCACATCCAAAAGTTCAGTAGTCGAGACTCGAGACAAATTAGGTGGAGCTGGTGAGAAAAAATTCAAATAACATTCTTATTCCGCTAAATGGTACTTTTTTCGATGTGCTAGTTTGTGCCACATACTGCAACTGTTGCAAGCTGGGACTTAATTATTTTGTTTGCGCCGAATTGTTATAGAAAATACTACCACAATAGTGATTATCAGAACCAGTACTTTTTCTATTCATGAATTGATCATTGAAGAAATTTCTAGTTTCTTGTGTTTCTGAACTATACAGTGGATTTTACTCTTTCTAATATCTAAGTCCTACTACTACTTTACAAAATTTCTTGTGCAAGAGAATTTGCACTTTGATACGATTCATGATCTCAAGCGGGATGTGAGATCAACAAACACGTCTTCTTTGCAAGGTATTGTGAGACCGCCCATTGGATGATCGAAGCCAAACTGCTCTTCAGCTTGAGTTAACAAGTCTTGAAATAAAGGCTTGCTCAAGTAAGATATTGGTACAACAAATCTCTTCTTCTGGCTCTCTCCTACATATACAGCACAATGTCCTTTGGGAACACCTCTGGAATTTGAAAACCTCCTCAATATTCTAGTACCTTGAATAAGAGGACTCATTTTGATACCCATTGCGAGATACTTTTGTAACGTCAAATGATGAGTGAAAAAGAAAAGGAATGAAGTATTTTGAGTAATACTCAGCAAGTGAGACTTGTGTTTTGCATAGAAAAACTTTCTATGTATATATACAAAATTAGTGGTAAGTTTGATATTCAAATAAAATGTGAAAGAGAATTTGGTGGCCACTGGTGATGAGAGACAATAGCACATGAAGCTTCACATGGCTTTGCTTACCATGTTATTGTCAAGTGTTCAAACAATAAATTAGGCCCCAATCTTATTTTACAGACACCCTCAAAATAAAATCGATAAGGATTGATGAATTTGATGCAACAATGGAAATCTAAGGGTCACCTATCTACATGACAAAGAAGAGAGAAGAACATGGTTTTGCTTCTCACCAGCAATGAAGAAACTTATCGTCTTTTGTATTCAAACTTAGTTTCATCCACAAACTCAAGGCCCCATCAGCACATGGCTTTGCCTAACAAACTTATCAGCTCCTCTTGTATAAATAATCCCACTTTCATGAGCCTTTTCATCACCAAGCACAAGCAATATCAATTTAGCCATCAAAAATCTCTAAATTTGTTATTCACTTTCTTGGTTTTAATCTTCTAGAAAAGAAAATGACAATGATTAGTACTAAGAAACTCATCAAAATGGCTAGGAAATGGCAGAAGTTTGCAGCAATGCAGAGGAAGAGGATTTCATTTCCAAGAAATGGTAGTCATGCAGACAGTTGTAGTACGTCTTCATCGTCTATAGTTGAAAAAGGACATTTTGTAGTATATACAGCTGATCAAGTTCGCTTTGGCATTCCATTGGTTTACCTTGAAAATGAGATCATTAGGCAACTCTTGAACATGTCTGAAGAAGAATTTGGGCTGCCGAGTGGTGGTCCTATTACATTACCCTGTGATTCAGCCTTCATGGACTACATCATTTTGCTAATCAAGAAAGGCGTAACTGCTGGAGATCTTCACAAAGCTTTGCTCCTATCAATTCCTTCTTCTTGCTGTTCGACTTCTTCTTTGCACCAAGAAAGTGGAATCCAACAGCTTCTTGTTTGTTGAGTCATAATCAACATGCTAGCTGAAAATAGTTTATTAGATAGGCATACACTGATGAACATTATTGTAAAGCACATCATACAGTTTAATGAATATTATTTTATCACAGAAAATATACCATATCCACTGCTTTCACTTTTAAATTTGGTTATGAGAAGACTTAACAATATAATCCTCTATTGGTACCTCTTATATATATTAACACCACTTTGTTTATGGCAAGTATTTCACTTACAGAAGTACCTTCTTGATTGAATAAGGTCTAAATGATCAATAAATCAACTATACATACTGTTAACTGTACCAGCTAAAACTAGTACATCCTATAAAATCCAGAATTTACTGCAACACAAGACGTACTGTTAACTAAACCAGCTAAACCTTCTCATTTAAGTACGTATTGGCTCTAAGAGTTTAATTTTGACAACTCTGTGTCATGTTTGGTTTAACAGTAATACTTGTTGAAGAACAATGCAGGCAGCCTCGTTGCTTCTCATGACTTGAAAACAAGGAGACCCTTAAAAGATAGGCAATTTAAGCATATGTACATTATGTAATTTCCAGTGAGTTATTGCAACTGTTGATCTTAGTTACTTTGCTCAGCATAAAGATTAGAAAAAATTGTTTAGGAAAATATTATGAAAAAGGATTAATCAGAAGTAGAACTTTTGCTATTCATAAATTGATCATGAAATATTTTTCTTGGTTCTTGTGTTTCTGCGCTATACAGTGAATTTTCCTATTTCTAATATCTAAGTCCTATAACTATTTTGCAAAATTTAATGTGCAGGAGAATTCATGATCTCCTCAAGTGGGAAGTGAGATGAACGAACACGTCCTCTTTGCAAGGTATTGTGAGACCACCCATTGGATGATCGAACCCAAAATGTTCTTCAGCTTGAGCTAACAATTCTTTAAATAAAGGCTGGCTCAAGTATGATATTGGTACAACGAATCTCTTCTTCTGGCTCTCTCCTACATATACTGCACAATGTCCTTTGGGAACACCTCCGGAATTTGAAAGCCTCCTCAAGATTCTAGTACCTTGAATAAGGGGACTCATTTTGATACCCATAGTGAGATACTTTTGTAACTTCAAATGATGACTTAAAAGAAAGAATAAAGGACTTTGAGAAATACACAGCAGTTGGGATTTGTGTTTTGTGTATGTGTATGTGTATATATACAAAGTTAGTGGTATGTTTCATATCCATTTTTAATGGTGAAGAGAATTTGGTGGCCAATTGTGAGAAACATTGGCACATGGTTTTGCTTACTCTATTATTATCATCAAGTATTCACACAATAAATTTGTAGAAGAACGACATTAGACCCCGCTTATATTTGAAATAAAATCCACAAGAATCAATGAAGGTCACCTATCTACATGACAAAGAAGAGAGCAGAACATGGTTTTGCTTCTTACCAGTAGGCCTAGTTGATTAAAGGAAGAGACTTATCTTCTTTTATTTTCAAACTTAGCTTCATCCACAAAATTTAGGCCCCATATGATCATGGCCAACAGGCATCAGCACATGACTTTGTTTGACAAGCTTATTCGCTCAACTTGTATAAATAAGCCCTCTTTCATGAGCCTTTCCATCATCAAACACAAGCATTATCAATTCAGCCATCAAAGGTCTCTAAATTTCTTGTTTTCAATCTTCCGAAAAGAAAATGGCAATGATCAGTACCAAGAAACTCATCAAAATGGTCAGGAGATGGCAGAAGTTTGCAGCTATGCAGAGGAAGAGGATTTTATTTCCAAGAGATGACAGTTGTAGTTCATCCTCATCGTCTATAATTGAAAAAGGACATTTTGTAGTCTATACAATTGATCAAAGGCGCTTCATGATTCCCTTGGTTTACCTAGAAAATGAAGTCATTAGGCAACTGTTGAACATGTCTGAAGAAGAATTTGGGCTTCCGAGTAGTGGCCCTATTACATTACCTTGTGATTCAGCCTTCATGGACTACATCATTTCACTAATCAAGAAAGGCGTAGCTGCTGGAGATCTTCACAAAGCATTGCTCCTCTCAATTCCTTCAACTTGCTGTTCAACTTCTTCTTTGCACCAAAAAAGTGGAAACCAACAGCTTCTTGTTTGTTGAGTCATAATCAACATGCTAGCTCAAAATAGTGTTAGATAGGGCATAGACTGAAGAACACAATTGTAAAGCACATCATACAGATTGAATGTTATTTTTTACCATATCTGCAGCTTCCACTTCTACAATTGGTTATGAGATGACTTAACAATCTAATCCTCGATTAACAACACTTTTTGTTTATTTCAAGCATTTCACTTACTGCCATACCTTCTTGATCAAATAATGTTTAATTGATTGAAAGTTTGACTCTATGGAGATCAATCAATCAACTATTCTAATCAAAGAATCAAACTTTGCTGAAGTATTGCAGGGCTTGTCTTTTAGTTAAGTTATCATCCAGTGTGAAGCAATTAGGTGATAAAACAATATGAGCTAACAAGTCTTGAAATCTAAAGGCAGACACAAGTATGATATTAGAACAACTAAACACATCCTTAAAATTCCTCTTCTTGAAAAATGTACATAAAAAGGAAAGCTTTTTACGCTGTGTTCTGCTCAAATACTTTGTGTGTGTGTATACAAGTTTATCGCAAGTTTCACATCCAAAAGTTTAGTAGTCAAGACAAGTAAAGATGTGCTATTAGTATCCTAGTATTTAGACACTTAACTTGTTAAGTATTAGGCCCCATTACTTCTCATAACTTGTTATCAAGGACATCCTAAAAAATTTAAAGCCTGAAGAACAGATAAAGCTGATGAGAAACTTGGTTCCGCTAATAAGAATGGCATCGGTGATAAGTAACAAGAAATTACGTAGCATCTAAAAAATTAATTTTAACCATGTATATACTTAATTTGAACTTCAAATTAAACTTTTGATTAGATGTGAAAAAATCTCAACCATTCTATAATAACCTTTAATGAACTTCTTTATTTTTTGATTTTTTGTTTACATATTTCTTCATGATTAAAGGAATGTTTGGTATGCGGTACAAGCATAAATAATTTAAAATGAAAATTTACTTATCTTTTATTTAGTTACTAATTATGGTATAGAATAAACATTGAAGTCAATACTAGTTAATTTTGTCCGATCGTTGAATAATAGTATTGAAATTAGTTATCGTAGAATAAAATAATTAAAATAACAAAAATACATTTGGGTTCTCTCAAATTCTTTTTCAACTAAATAAGGTGTAGGAGGTTTTGGTAACCAACACACCTCTTCTTATAAATTATGTTATATATATTATTTTTAATACGATAAATCAAACGATCAATAAAAAAATTAAATTAATAATTCTAACATAACTTATCAGTAAATCGAACGATCCTTAAAATTTGGAGATGTGAAAATTTTGGAGTACATATACCTTCATAGCCGTTTGAATATTGTCAAAGGTTATTCAAACTTCTAACCTAATCGAAAATTATTACTTCCTCCGTTTCACAAAGAATGACCTGGTTTGACTTGGCACGGAATCTAAGAGTATAAAGAAGACTTTGTATTTTGTGGTCCTAAATTAAAGGAGTCTGGAGTCTAAAGGGTATAACAAAACGGTATATAAAATTTTATATTAACCAAAACGGCAAAATCGCTAGAACAACAACAATTTCCTCCGCCGAAAAAAGCAAAATCGTTGTTACTGCAGCGTTTTTGCAAAATGTGATTTTTTTTTAAAAAAAAAAAAATAGCAACAATTTTCTTTAAAAAATGTTTAAAGAAATTTTTGATATCAAAATCATAATTTTTCTTGCCTATCACAATTATAGATAACGAAAAA